TGGGTAACTTCACCTGGATACCTTCACCTGGATAACTTCACCTGGATACCTTCACCTGGATAACTTCACCTGGATACCTACACCTGGATACCTTCACCTGGATAACTTCACCTGGATACCTTCACCTGGATATCTTCACCTGGATACCTTCACCTGGATACCTTCACCTGCATACCTTCACCTGGATATATTCACCTGGATACCTTCACCTGGATACCTCCACCTGGATAACTGTAAACGGAGTGACTCAGTCCAGGACTTTGGACGGACGTCATTACCCTGACCCCCCCTGAATGTAACGATGCGTCATCTACACACAGCTGTCTGACAGCTGCAGACCAGACGGAAGAAAAAGATAAGATAGCAGAATAATCTAAGCTTCACGAGGAAAACACACGTTTTCACCACTAAGTTAAGAATCAGCTCCTTTATCAGCAGCAGGGATTTGGTGCTAAATAGTCCCTCCCTCTCTGCCTGTGATTCATCCCCGCTAACTGAACGCTTCCCGTTCTCTGTAGACTGGAGCTACGTGTTGGTCTTCAGACTCACTGTGTGGGAGGTGGTGATCCTGCGGGCTGCAGAGCCTCTGAGCGAACTCCTGACTGTACCACACCAGCAGCTCCTGCTTGGGCTCCACCGGCCGGATGGTGTAGAAGTAGACGTCCCGTCCGTTCTGGCAGGCCACCAGGTTCTGCTCGGCCAGGCAGCGCGCCGGGTTCACGTAACGCATCCAGTTGCTCTTGTGGACATCGTACCCATCGATGAAGTGCTGAAGTTGTCCACCGCTGTAAATCTGCAGAGGAAAGAGAGAGAGAGGCTGAAAACAGGATGGAAACGATAGACCGGCTCTTCACCACAAACACGTTCATCATTCTCTGAATATGATTCTATGGTAGATGCAGACTGGTGAACAGCTGGAACCCAGAGAATAATCACCTGGGCCATGTACGGTAATATCCTGCTCCGCTGTCAGTCTGCTGTGAGCGCTGCTGCCTTGTCTGACTGTTTTCTCGCAGCATTTCTGTTTTGTTGAGCCGTAAAAATTCTGGGTGTGGCTAAATCAATCATTACGCAAAAGTGACTGCCTCTTTTGATTCCTTTTTCGCTTGTGTTTCTCTCTGATTCATGGACGGCACGCCAGCTGTCAGTAATGGTTAAAGTGAAACCCTTGGAGATGGATGTGTTGATTGTGAAACACAAAGCAGATGAAAGTGAAATGTCAGAGAAGCTGGCGGGGAGCCAGAGTGCTGCGGGGGGGGCCTGTGGCAGCACGTCTACCTGTGACAAAGCCCTGATAACAGCCTCGGTCCTGCAGGCAGGCAGGAAGACCCCGGACAGCTTTACAGGAAGGAAAACACTCACTGAGCTGTCAGAGCAGAAAAATGCCCAGTGATTCCGGCACAATAGGTGACAGAGAGAACGTTCAGGGACGGAAGGGAAGACAATCAGTCAGGCCAGTGCCGGTAAGGCTTTGATGACTCTTCAACACAATCCAGGGTTACGTGCTGCTGCCTTCACAACTTCCTCTAAAATCTACAGCAAAAAGCCCTGAACGCCACGGCCATGTGTCCTCGCTGACGCAGACAAGCAGACGTGATGCGAACCAGAGAGGAGGAAGGAAACCTGTGGCTTCTTAACTTTTCCCAGGTCCTTCTTCCTCAGAGGCTTTCCCTGATTGGCTGGTTTTCCTGAGGGGTTTACCGCTACCTGACATCCTGCTGCTCTTACCCTCCAGAAGTACTTCCTGTTGGCCTCTTTGGGGACGCTGTCTTTGGTGTAGATGTCTCCTCGCAGGGGACCGAAGCGGGTTCCCTGAGGAATGTACTCCTTGCTGAACACACCGGTCACCTGGGAAAAAACCAACAGAAATCATCATCATCATGGCGTGTGTTAATGTTTATTGACCACTGATGTTTATGTCACTGAGGCCGGCGGCCGGCGCCGTCAGCTCAGACCGCGACGCTATAAGACTCCAACTGACCCACTTTCCCCACTGACGACTTAAACCAATGAAGAGACTTATACTTTCTCTGACCTACTCCACTGATCTCTGACCTGCTGCAGAGTCACAGACTCCTTAAGGAAACAACATTTCCAGAGAATTTGCTGACAGGTTGCTTCAGACACGGACTCTCTGCTGAGGGGAGGAGTCACAGTCCTCGGTTTCTGTTCAGCACGAGCCGCAGGAAGAACCGACTTCTCCAGAACAGACAGGAAACCTGTCCTGAGATCTCAGCGGACATCAGGAGACATTCCTGAAACCCTGTCTGTCATTAACCTGGTGGGTTTTTTAGGAGAGGAAGTGGGGAGGCGGGGTCTGAGACGCCGCCAGCGCTCAGCACCTTCACCCTCATTGGTCACCTGAGAATTAAACCCGGCTTAGTTTTTCAAGGAAGCAGACCAGGAACTTCAGAAGTGAAGTATTTCTGGGCAGTTGGATGCCGGCTTGTGTGTGTGTGCGCGCGTGGGGGGGGTGAGTGTGTGTGTATGGGTGTGT